CCAGCAGCATGGAGAGCTGCCTCCAGCTGGTAAGTCTGGCATGGTGGAAGAGGAGAGGGGAGGCAGATCAAGGCCCCCGCAGGGAGGGAGGCGTGAGGCTGGGGCAAGAGCTACCCAGTCACGACGGGGTGGGCACGGCACAGAGCCATCATTCATCCAGGGGGTGTGGGTTCTGCCGCTGCACGCCACTTGTCCAGGAGCCACTGGTCTGGTGGCTCCCATTGCTGCTCCAGCTGCTGGGCCGGGAGGGCGTGCACCCCTGGATCTGCGTGGGGTGGGGTGGGGCCAGGGCTGCATCAAGCTCTTCCTAGCAGGGCAGGACTGCTGGGGGGAGTGCAGCCACAAATTTGCCGTTGCCCCTTCCCAGCACAGCCCCACCCAGCAGGAAGACCATGGCACAGCCCCAGCCCACCCCGTGCAGACCTGGGGACACATGTCCCCACCCCCCGCCCTCCTGGATTAGAGGTGGGAGCAGCGGCGGGAGCCGCCTGATGAATAGGCAAGTGACAGATGAGAGCTGATGGACCAGCAGCTCCTGGACAAGCGGTGCGCAGCAGCGGGAGCTGTGCTCCCCCGCCCCACCAAGCCACAGCTCCATACCACACCTACCCCACCCTGGCTGGGCAGTGCTAGCCCCAGCCCCAACCCCACACCTCTCTCTCCACATGGGCCTTGATCTGTGCCCCACAGTCCCTTTCCTCCCCCATCATGTTCCACCACACCAGACTTACTAGCTGGAGGCAGCTCTCCACGCTGCCCAGCTGTGCTCCTTGCTGCCTGTGTTGCACTGCAGCTGTGTGGATGCACGGGCCATTTATCGGCTAAATTATCAGCCTGATATGGCCGATTTCTAATAAATTACATTTTCTTTATATTAGCGCCGATCTGATATTGGACCGATGCATCTGTGCACATCTATAGAAAACTCATATCTCCTTGGTTTTGCTAAAGCCAGATCTTAGTAAGGATGCAAGAAAGACAAGACAACTCAATTAAGTGTGAGGTCAGTGAACACAAGTTAAAGTGCATTCGACTGATGGGGATGATTTCATTTGGAAACAGAGAGGCTTGAAATTATGAAGTGCAGAAAATTAATAATGGAAACTAAGAAAAAAGATCCACAGTTGGCGATGAATAAGGACAATAAAGAGTGTTTTAATTATATCAGAAACAAAAGACATCCTAACAACAGTAAAGACAATGCAAGCTCATTACTATATAAAGGCAAAATAATAAAAAAAGATGCAAAAGAGGCAAAAGCGTTCCAAAAATCTTTGTTGCATTTTTGGCAAGGAGCAGGACGATGCATTTACAGCAAAGTATGACAAAGTTTTACTCTATTAGTAACTCAACATCTACTAAACATAAACATCGGGGGAGGGGGGGCAGGATAGTGAACTGATGCCTCTTTGCATCTTTCCAGTCTAAAGGGGGCTCTTCAGCTGGTCCTTTTAACTGCCAAACAGTCTTTGTTAACACAAATGAAAAAACAAACCACCAACAAACAAAAACTGATAGCCTTTCTCCAGGCAGTGGGAAAGGCTCCTCTCTCCAGCCCCTTCCTGGCACTCCCCTGCCATCAAATTTTGGGTCCCAAAGGCAACCCCAGAGATGAGATAACATGGCTCCGCAGGCCAGATTCAGCCCAGAGGACATAGGCTGAACACCACCAGCTTGAACAAAGTCTGGGTAACATCAGAAGAGGCAAAGGAAGTGAGCAATGAAGAGGTAAAAACAGTTTTAGAAAGTTCAAGACAGGCATGTTAAGAGGTAGGCTAAAGGTCTCTCAGAGTACACGTTGTGGTTATATCTGGCCTAGGACAGGATATAGGCTAAGGGCAGAAGTTACATATAAACCAGTGTAAGTGATCAGAAACTGATTCAAATCTGTAAGACAAATGAAATTCAGTGCATATAAACTGCTTTCAAAAAGGATGAAACTGGTTTAAGATAAACCTGGATGGATTTAGTATCACACTCAACTGATTTAGGTTAAATAGGTTTACTGAACTTCTGTCCCAGATACCTTACAGATTCAAGTTAACTCACAGTATCCCAGGGTCCAGCTCCCCTGCACTTGGGCAGGAAAGACTGCTGTGATCAGATGACCCCAGCAAGATAGGAGTCGAGACATTTTATTTGTTTATCCGGTTAATCTACGCATCTTAGACTAACCTGTGAAGACTGAATCAATTCAGCCTCAGGCTTTTTGACTATCTACTTAGCTATAGTATAAAAAGAGAAGAAAAAAGGGGTATATGAATACTAATATTGAAGTAGAACCTATTCCAAGCCTTTATTTTTTAGCCTTATTTAGCAAGCTTCTGAAATTGGGCCAGGTAACAGAGCACAAACATTTGGGTTCAAGTCAAAACCTCTGCTCTTCGACTTTGAACTACAGTTTTTTTCAGGACAGTCCACTTGCAGGTAAGTCAAGACAAATGCTTTTTTAAAACTTAATTTGAAATCTAGGTAAGAAACACTTTCCCCTAACAAGCTGGCTCCTGTTAGAGATTTTGAAAGATTCTAGAACTTAGAGAATTTAATATTAGCTTCTTTTAAACATTAAAAAAAAAGCTTTTTCTTTAGATTAGTGCACTTTTAAAATATTACCAGTTACTTGAAATGCTTTACTTATCGCTATATCTTATCAGTATTTCATTATTAAATTTGATATTAACATTTATTTACATTTGGGTTTTGAATATTTAATTTTGGTGGGGCTGGCTCTTTAAGCCTTTCTTGGTTCCTAGAATGACTGGGGGCAACAATGGCTCTAAATGCTATGAACTTTGAGACAGCAAAGGTAATGCAATGCACAATGTAAATCCATGCAGAAAGGAGAAAAATAAACCTAAAAATTACACTTTATTTGAAAATTATACTTACCTGCAATGATTTCTCGTAGCTTTGGATCTAAGTTCACAGTACATGGCAAAAAGATTTTTACATCACGTGCTATTAGAACCGGTGTTCGTGAAGACAAAAATACTTCAAAGTTCCGGATGTCCCCATCAATTTCAAGCAAAGGTTCAACATCTTTAGTTGTTGGAATATTCTTTGAAATTCTTAAATAAAAATAGGCGGGGAGAGAGAGAAAAAGAACAGCAGACAATTAGATGCACTTGAAGAAGTTAAAGCTATCAAAATGTGGCTTCCATTTCAAATGCTGTTCCTGTTTTAAAAAATGTTCCAGTGTGTAGAATTTAAGGGAGGTAGTAGCGGGTCACATCCCCAAGCCAACGCTCTGGAAAATGCAAATGACCTGTAGAGGTCAGGGTACACCTGCATTTTTATAAAGGTGTTACTTGGTTTTATTTCTAAAGAAAAATCCAGCATTTTCTTTTTCAAAAAACCCCAAGCCACCAGACCCCCAGGACCCAATTTCATGCTTGAAGGTTCACAGATATCTGAAGACACAAGATCTACAGACAGCCAATAATACAAGACCCAAAATAGGATAAGAAAAAGGAGGAAAAGTTCTGGGGAGCATTTAACTTTAAGAACCATGCATTCTAAATTTTGTACCCACCTAAGGTGGTGGCTTTCTATATCCATTCTTTGGATTTTGTTAGGTTTTTTTTAATTTGAACTGCAGCCGTGCCTCGAGTCCTAATCATGGACTAGGGACTCCGTTGTGCTTTTTACTATATAGATATAACATATTTACTTGAGGACAAGATGACCCTGAATGTAACATGAACCACCAATAATTAGATTCTACACAAAGAACATTTAAGTTTATTATAATTTTCCTTGTATGGAATCTAATTATTGGAGGATCATCTTAAATTCATCCTTCTCCCCCACTACTGTAGGTGGTGTGGCGGAGTGGTGATGAGGGGGGCAGAAATGGAACAGGTAGGGGGCAGTAATGGGGCAGGCAGTGGGAGGCAGGAAGTATGGAGGTGGTGGAGCAAGCATCCTGACCCCTGCTGCCTGTCCCCCTCACTTACCCCACATTGTGCCCCCCCACCCCCGCTTCAGCATCTTACCCTGTTTCCTCTTCCTCCCTTCTCCACACCACTTCTGCCATGCATAGCCTCAGGTATCCACCCCCCCTCCTTGCTCCCATCTTCCTCCTCCTTAAGTCTCTCCCCACTGTCTACCTCAACCCCCCCACATCTTTGCTCTACACTACCAATTCAGCCAGTAGCAGCAGTGTGAAACTGGCACTGCTGTTCCAGCCTGGCCCCACAGCAGCAGGTAAGGAGTGCAGCAGAGGGGGACAGAAAGGGAAAAGTGGCATGTGGGGATAGGAATCACAAGACTGGAGGCTTCCAGGCAGGAATGGCAGGGTGTGCAGAGGTGTGTGTGTGTGGGGGGGGTGGATAAGGATGACAAGCAGTAGCTGTGGCTCCGGCCCTGGCCCCGGCCCCAGAAGCTACCCCCTCTCTGCTGCCTCATGCTTGTTTGTAAAGCAAGGGGCTTTCCCCACCCTTTTCCCCCCACCCCCGTGGTTGTGCAAACAGTCCCTATCACCAAAAGTTTCTGTGCTAAGACAAGAGACCTACATATGCAAACGGGGATACATAAAGAAACAATCCAGGGCAGCAGCATAAGCAACCAGCTTGCTATGATTATTACCTAGCTTAAGTTTTTTAAGAAAATGACAGTGACAAAGAGGTGTTTAAAGAGGGATGTGAAGAAAGATAACAAGGCAGCCTTGAAGTTACTTCTGAAAGTGTTTCCTTCTAAGCATGCGTGGCAGTATGGAAGAAAGTATGAATGGACTTGTTTGAAAATTTAACTAACGGACAGCAGAGGGAGATGATCACGATAGGAATGACAGTGAATGAAAAAAATGAGAAATTGGGTGGGGATCCTTGAAAGTAAAGATAAATAGCTTGTTTGATGCAACAGAGAAGAGCCAGTAAACAGACACGGAGAAAAGTGACACAGTAAAGGAGACTACTAGAAAAATGATCTTTGTATCAGCATTAGATATGGCTACCAGTGGAACACACTACCCTATTTTGAACTTAAAAAAAGAAGGGTTTGACTATAACCAGTACACATACTGCAACTAGCCACTTGGCAGCTCTGCCCAACAATACAAGTCTCTTGTATTATACATACGCTGGCATGTTTCTGAAGGAAAATTAGCAAAATTTCAATTATTAAATTATTTTTCCACTTTTACTAACTTCTTGTCACTATGGCTAATATTCTAACACAAAGGCGGGCAATTATTTTGGGCAAAAGGCTGCTTACTGAGTTTTGGCAAGCCATTGAGGGCTGCATGACAGGCAGCCAGGGAAAGATAAATATTAATTTTCCTAATTTTTTAGGGGCCCCACAAGCCGGATACAATGGCCTGGCAGGCCATAATCGGGCCTGTGGGCTGAATTTTGCCCACTCCAGTTCTAACATTACATGAGGATCTTATATTTTCTTTTTGCAGTTCATATTAGCATTTTGAAAGCATGTTTTTTCTTTCATCTGCTCCACAACACCCATTTCATGTACCAACAGACTGTTTTCAGAGCCAGCTTTTACAGATATCTGTAGAAAGGTTTTACTACAGAAAGGGCATCAGAAGCAAAATCAAAGATGTCACTAATGGCCAATACTGCAGGTTGGGAGGAAAAAGAGCCACACTTGTACAAAGGTTTTAGTTATGGCTTATTGCAGGCGGTGGCAATCTTTTGCTTGCAACTTAGCCCCTGCCAGAGACCAAACTTCCAGACCTCCCCAGCAAGCAAAAGATGAGACTAATTAGAAAAAAAGCAGGTGCTAGGATCTTGAGGGTGCTTCCTCTGCAGCAGCAGGGAGAAAAAACTGAATATGGCAGACAATAGGACCTTGGAGATCTCTTCCTCTGGTGTGGCTGAAGTATGTTTGCCGAATCCCTGAGCTGCCATAGGCTGGATTCAGTTTCTTCAAAGGCCCAATACAGCCTACAGGTGACAACCCCTGGCTTCTTATTTCAAACTTTGGTGCTTTTTTTTTTTGGAAGGTTGAAGTTCATAGTGCTACATGAGATAGCTGATGTGGTAGAACAACTACAGTTAACATGATCCTAGAACAGTGTTTCTCAAACTTTTTAACTCAAGACACCCCTTGGAAAATGCCAGGTCTTATTTTTCTGTCAACAAAAAGTAAAAACTGATAGAGCAGTCTTTTGTTTAACTCAGAAATCCATAACTGTTGTCTTTCTATCTGAAATCTCTGGGTTTATCTTCTGAATCATGTTTGTAAACCTAACAGTGCTAACACTATGGCACCTCAACACCATTTAAAGAATCTCAAGGCTGTGGCACCCTGGTTGAGAATCACTCTGCTAGAGACTATACATGACCTTAAAGCATATACCTGCATACTGGACCATATACCCCAAAAATACAAGTTATTTTCATACCAAAGATGATGGTTACACAGTGCAATATTGACAAAGGCACATGGAGATGCAGAGCATTTTCGTGCCTAACTTTTAGATACCTAGCTTTTGGCACAGAATTCACAAATCTATGTGAGACACTTAAATTCCCCATACTCTAAATGAGGAGATAAACATGTTTACAATTGGGATTCACAGCACTCAGCATGCTGGTCAGGGGATGCCTAAGCCTGCCCATGGGCAACAATGAAGAAAGGAGTGTGTTTGAAATCTCACTTCTTCGCTAGGCCTAGGTATCTATGTGAAACTGGGATTTACAGTCCAAATCCCTCACCTACACTAATAAGCCTAAGTATTCCCTTCATGAATGGGAGGAGTGCCTATCTGTGTACAATATCTTCATTGTTAAGAGCACTTGGGTCAGGGAGTGGGAGATCAGGATTTTACATTCTTCCTCAGACTGCAGCAATTCAAAATGACATCTTCATGTCCAGGTGGAAAACCCTGTAACACTATAATAGAGGATAGGCCAGGCTGAAAGCCTTGCTGTTGAAACTGGGCAACTAGTCAGAGAAGAATGAGAGACTTTAGGATCAAGAGAAAGCATCTAAGAGGGAGCATAACTCTGTACCCCAGTGACAAGGGCACTCTTGTAAGAGGGATAAATCCTGGATTCTGGTCCCTGCTCCATGACTGCACATATAATTTATACAATGGCTATAATGCAAAAATATATGATCAGTGGTGGGAGTGGGACTAGAACTTGAAAGGGGGCTTCCTTTACAGAAGTACCAACATTGGACAAAAATCAATTAGCATGCATTTTAAGTTGTCCATTCTATACACATACACACATAATTGAACTAAGATAAAATAAAATGATATCTGAAATGGAACAGTTGAAGTGCCGTATCCATTGCATTACTTTTTAAAATTAAAAAAACCTGCCAGAAAGATGATTAAAGGTTTAAATAAAACACACAGCTGAAAAGTCACATGAAACAAATTAGCTGAATTGTAATGCCAGCTCTGCTTAAGTCTGAATGTGAACAGTGTTCTCAATATGATGAACAATGCTACTGTTTAGAAGCCAATAGCCCACTGCTGGTTTACATATTGGAACCTCTATTCTAACCTTCTGAGTGCAATACATTATAACTAGTCTTTTGAAAGAGAAATTTATGTAAATGATAATCTTTTGGCCAAATGCCACAAAAACCATGTGTCTATACTTTCATATAAAAATTTAGCATATAAAAAGTGCTTTAAAAATGACTTACTCTTAAAATTACACAAATGGATTCAAACTCCAAGCACTGAATCTACACTATCCTTCCCCTGGAGCTTGATTTTTCCAGGGCAACAAATCATCTTTAAATTTGGAAGCATTTCTAAGTTAACAAAACTTCTGAATGTTGAAGACTATCTGCTTTATTGATAAAGAAATTGATTTTTAAGGGGAAGGCGGGGAGAACGTACTACTACTCCCATTTAACTGAATGGGAACTACAGGTTATGAACATCCTTAAGGAAACAAACCTACATTGTATATTGCAGCTGCACTATAACGTACCAGACACATAACAGCTTATCCTTCTTTATTATATGACATTAAAATGAGAGGCTCAGTATGTCTACTTTATTAAAATCTCAAAATGCTGATTTTAGCACAGGTAAAATAGCATCTGCATGGCTTTATATTCTCTCTCGTTTAAAACTTTTATTATT